TAATGCCTACACATGGAAGCAGGGGTGGCAGAGTAACAAATTAGAGGGGGGCCAACAAAAAGGGCACCTACAAGGGGGCACTTTATTAAAGTAATAGGTGCACTTGTCAAAGTAAAAGTGGCAATTTTCCTATGTTCAAAGGGGCACTCTGGGGTTCTTCAAAAATGGGGTGGGGGCACTGTGCATACCAGCCCCCCCCCCCCCCCCCCCCATTGGAGCGGCGCCTCTACATGGAGGGAAAGTAGGGGGTAAAGCTAGGAAGCTCGATCCGCAGGAAACCACAGAGGAAGCATTTTTTTTACAGTGAAATATGAAGTCACGGTGTCTGGCACGGTTTCTAAACGGGCACAATGTAAAACATGGCAACATGCAGCTAGGCCTGTATTGAGACGTTATGAGGATGGTGGAGTGGTAAGCAGTAAGATGACGTTATTAGGTCGTTAAGAGAGCGGTTGACCGTTAATGATCGGTGAGCCGGTATGAGGTGGTGTGTCAACGATGAGCGAACGGTGAGAGCCCGACGAGAACCTGTAACGAGGTCGGTATACAGTAACAGCCCGTTGGACAAAATATGACACATCGTCACTGTTCTCACTGCCCCACGAACGGGTCCATAATGGCCTCGTACCAGCCCACCATCCTCTTATAGTCCTCATACCGGGTTCTCACCGTGTGCCACCGCTTGTATCCACACGGCAAAAGTTTTGGGCATGCCCACAACTTTTGCCGGGTCTCGCCTGGTCTCTTTGGCCACTAACAGGCACCATGGGACAGCTAATTTTAATAGCAAGAAGCTGACCTGCTTTCTGAGAAGTCTGGCTGGACAAAGAACCACATCAGGTACATTTATGTTTGCAAACTAGCAAGCTTTTTGGGTGAAGATGTCTGCCAGGCTCTAACCCCTGCCTTACTGTCTGCGACATTATAGTGTGTTTGCAGGACGTGGACAGCTGGGTGCACTGAAGCTCTAGCATTTTGGTGAAGAATGGGATGTTTCAACAAAGCTAATTGACAAGATACAAGAGTTTGTGTGTTGAAATGTATGCATTCACATCCACAATCTGAGACCGGATCAATGAACTCCGCTACCATCTCTTCTAAGCAAAATGAGGAGAGGTAGAATCCAGCCAGCTACCTCCATGCAAAGACTCTTTGCGCATGCATGTTCTTCGCGCGAACTACCAGGCTGCAATATGGCGAGGATGAAAATACATGTAGTAGATATTGCTTTCTTCCTTCTTGTCAATTCAGGATGAAGACAAAGAAAGGTTGTTGCAAACAAAAGAAAAGTCGGTGACCTGTGATTGTGTGTGATCTATTTACCACAAGTCACCAGTATCTAATTGACAAATAAGCTGCCATTAGGTCATGGTGACAACTTAGGGTATAGGCTTAAAATTCCAGATCACATGGAAAGGACACTTGTAGGTTAAACTCGAAGATGTACTAGATATATTTTATCAGTTACATCTTTTTGAACAATCAATGTACAGTCTCAAAGGCATATACATGTTTTTTTCTGGCTTTGAGAATGTGAATTGATTTGTGTCCAAACGGACTACTTAAATTCAATCACACCTTTCTTGTCAAAGAGAGTTTTAAAAAAATAGGAAAGGGAGGATGTGACAAAATAGTTTCTGAGACTTTGTGCAAATCGCCTGTAATATTTCTGCACAAAGAAGGCGTTTTGATAAACAGACACAAATTTTCTAGCATTTATATTTACCTTTGACTCATTTATTCTCATTTTACTTGTAATATTCTTCGGGACAGTTTTGATACAATAGCAAAAGAATTAATGAGATGGATGATCTGTGCTGGTTCCAGCATTGCATAGAGTCAAATGAAGTTTTCTGGCATCTAATGTTGTCATCACAATGTTATATCTTTCTAAACTCTAAGAAACAGCTTGTAATATGCAGTGGCAGAATACTTTTATGGTAATTTTGCTCTGATTTTATGCAAATGTATGAAAAATAGCGGTGATGTTCGTTGATCGTTCGTTTCGTTTTGTTTATTTCCATTTCCAACAAAATAAATAAAGTACATGGGATTGCATTGTACATAGTAAAACAATGAAACTTAACAATATATTTGTAATTGGTCCACAGTGTACAACAGGCATATAAAACAGGTTGGTCATGGAGGGGACTGCTGAAAAGCTGGGCTTGTAGATTGCAGCCCCCTATAACTTATATAAAAAAGGTATATCAATAAAGGAACGCTCAAATACACAGCCAAATAGACATAACATAGAAGGAGTGAAAGGGACAGGGAAAGAAGGAAGACAAGGAACGAGAGAGAGCAGGGCTCTTACCTATAACACACATAATGCTTGATAATTACGCAAAAAGGAATTTTTTAATTTTTAATTTAAAAGAATTTAAACTGGGGGCATTCTTGATGCTAACATCAAGAATGGTCCATAGCTTCGGGCCTGCGTAAGTGAATATGGATTTAGCAAGTAAAGTTCTAGTTAATGGCAGATGAAATTCGTCAGATTGGCGCGTAGGGTATTTGTGTATAGATTTATTTTTGATTAATATTAAATTGAAGGCTGAGGGTAGCGTATTATTATTTAACTGGTACATAAACTGACTGAGGCTATAACGATATAAATCATTTATTTTCAACACATTATTTTCAACAAATGAAACGTCAGTATGGGATCTCCAGGAAGTGTTACAAATAACACGCATAGCTTTTTGTTTGTAGAAGTAGTATTCTATGAAGATAAGAATCGTATGTATTACCCCAAACAATAATACCATAATTTAAGTAGGGCAAAATTAATGTCAAGTAAAGCATTAGTAGGGAGGAGGTTGGCAGAAAAAACTTAACCTATTTACAATCCTATGTTAATGTCCAAAATTACATGTCCTATGTTAATGTCGAAAATAATGCTTTAGCTGTGCTCCCTGTGCCTGAAAACCTGGGTATAGACATCAAAATGAACTTTCAACACCTCTCCTATCCCAAGATATAGCCAAAATATGGCATATCGTACCCTACAGGGCATCTTGTTAACTCTAATTCATGTTGCCATGGTAACAATGGGAAGGTACTATATAGCATATTCTTGGCTTATATGATATATTAGTCATATAGTTTTGTCATTATTTTGGAAAGGGGGCTTTAACTTGTCTCGAATGAGTATATTGTGTAATATAATACTGAAATTGCTCCAAAATTCTTGATTTTAGGCTATTCTGGGGCCATTACCATGGCAACTGTTATAAATGGTAATGTAATTTGCATTATTTCATTACTTTCCTTTATGGTGAGGTATTCTAAACCGTACATTTTTATGCATTCAAGAGTGTTTTTATAATATGTAAATTACTTAACTGTTTCTTTGAATAATACTGGTTTTATTGTTGTGTTGCCATGGAAACTGCTGATTATACGACTAAGCTGTCCATTCGGTAATGCTTTCATAACTTTTTACACGTATATATGCCCAACAAACAAAAAAAGTACAAAGGTTTTGCCACCTCTGGTGGTACCAATATCTGGTCTGGCCAATGGACTAGCGTACATGCACATGTGTCGACTAGTGTACTGATCCCCAAGTCATTTTTTTGGTATTTACTGACAATATATTAAAGTGATATTTCTAGCTGATATTGTGAATAGAGTGCAGGGATGCTAACTGTTACAGTTTTGCTGTATTTGTTCCGGTTTTATTGCTCTTGTTACGGTAAACAACCAAATGTTACGGGAAACGATAAATAAGTACATTATAGCATTAGTAGGTCCATGATTATTGCGTATGCCGCCTATATACACATAGCCTGTGTACACGGCGCTGCATGTCACGCACGCATTTACTCAAAAGTGCATTGAATTTGACTACACTGGATGGGCATTTTCGCTCTCTACACGCTAATTGTGCACATGGTCCGTCCACCGCCATCTTGTTTAATTCCGAAATTAGTATGCTTACGCGCAGTTGTGCATTTTGGGGGGAGCATGATGGTGGATGATCATGTGCGCGGTGATTCAAGCAGGCGCATTGCAAGTGCGCTCCAGTGCGTGATGTTCATGAACGCCGAGCCTAGCGGCCTGGGCTGGTACAGGCGTTACGGTGTGCGTGTGGTGTTCATTTAGTGTGTAGGATACAAGTTCTGCCATTTTGACTGTGGATTAGGATTTGCCGTTCGACACTTGAACGAGGTGTTTTCTTCTTGAATATTATCATAAATTCACTGAAAAGAGCAAGTACCTGAGGAGGAGATCCTATGACTGCAAACAGATTTTTAAAAACGTTTTGATGCACATCTTTATTTTGAACTTAAAAATGGTAGGTTCGAAATGCAGTAAAAGTAATTGGGTGTTTGGGTACATTTTGCGCGAAAAATATGCTGCGTTGTCTTGCATTCCGGAAAGACCCCCATTTGTTACCGACAAATGAGGTAAATGTTACTTACAACAATCCTTCAGGGTTGGCATCTCTGAGAGTTTAGCGCTATGGAACTCTGCACATCAACACTATAATGTGTTTTGGTGATCAGTACACTTTTAAGGTAACATAAATTTAGTTCTGGTCATGGAAGTGCACTTTGAGGAAAACTGTAGAAGCTTTAGGGAAAGGTTGATTATGTTGTACATAAGAACTGGTATATACTATGGGGCTTTGGGATTTAGCAAAATTATATGAAATTGATTCAGTCTTGCTGAAATTCATATACACTCAACATTGGAATGTGTGGGACGTACTACACAAACATGTGGCATGAAAGATGAGTCAAATCACTTCTGAATCAGCTATATCTTGTCATATTTTCAGGAGACATTTTTTCTATGTTATTCTTCCACACTTACGTAAAAAGAATTAAAGCTCACATTTGCATGTACAATATTCTCTGTACAAGTTGGTGGTATTGGGGTTCATGTCCATAACGGGTAAAGAGTAAATTGCAGGTTTTTGGTATTATGACAAGAGAAATTAGCATTTAATGTGGGTTGATAATCATTTTGGATATGTTATTTCTTCCCAGAACCGAACCCTCCAGAGTCCCTCAGCGCTACTGCTCTTGGTTCCGATGAGATTAGAGTCCTCCTCTCCCCACCCCAGGGAGAGTTTGACGGTTACGAGCTCTCCTTCTCTCCTAATTCCGCCGGTGGTCCCATCTTGCTTGAACCAGACACGCGGGAGCATCTCCTGTACAATCTCCAAAGTTATACTACTTACAACATCCAGGTGTTTGCTTATAGTGGAAGCAATGGACAACTGCTAAAGGGTGATGTGATCTCAACAACAGCCACCACTGGTGAGAATTAAATTCAGACCTGTATTTGAAATTTAACTCTTTGATATTGATCAATCACAAAAAAACACAGATATTTATATGTATATCATCAGGATACATCAAGCTATTCCCTAATAAATGTGCATGTACATGTTTTAGGTATTTGAAAACAGGGCGTATAATAGATTCCCCCCCCCCCTTCTTCATCATAGCTTAAAAGTATGATGATAAAGCTTTAAAATATAATGATATCGATATTTTGTCATATCCAACGATAAACAAACAGATTAACAAAACTGGTACTGGTGGTCATCTTATATTCTGAGTACTGTAGCACAGTACTAATCAGGCATAAGGTCAGGTTTGCAATAAAAGATGTGGTCCATTTAATAAGTCTCTGCACCACAAAGTACACAATTCAAATCCCTGTCACGGCATCAAAGATGTCCTTTGGCAAGTCTTTCATCTACATTTGCCACACTCCACATAGGCGAGGTGAATGGGTACCTGTAAGGAATTAGTTCCCAAGAATGCTTGAGTGCTGTAATGGCAGCCGTGCTAAAGCAATTAAGGGTCATAACAACAGAGAGCCAGGAGTGGCAATGTGCCAGACATGGGCACTATATATATATATATAAGACTCCTCTGTTAATGCTATTTGGGTGAAATGGTACAAAATACAGGGTACTCTAATAAGCCAGGGTAATTATGCTGCATTGTTGTAGAGCGCTTAGAGACTTCTGATAAAGCTTTTGATAGGATAAATCACGATTTACTTCTTAGAAAGTTGGGAAATTTGCAGGTGAATCCTACACTTGTTAACTGGATAAGAGCGTTCCTCTATCAAAGAAAGCAAAGAGTTAAAATCGATCAAATAAGATCTGAGTGGCTGACAGTTAATGGGGGTGTCCCACAAGGGACTAAAATGGGACCACTGTTGTTTATAATCATGATAACGGATTTGGGTTGTAATCTTCCCGTTGTCAAATACGTTGATGACACAACATTGTATGAGATATGTCCTTATGGTGAAAATGGCACGATTCAGAATACCCTCAATGAACTTGCACACTGGTCTGAATTGAATGATATGCAGATAAATCCAATGAAGACCAAGGAAATGATTGTTTGCTTCATGAAAGACGATCCAAACTTACCATATCTTACCATCGGTGGAAATCAAGTAGAGAGGGTTCAGGAAGTTAAACTACTCGGTTTGTACCTCAATAACAAACTTAACTGGGATACCCACGTGAAAGAAACCTACACTAAAGCAGCAAAACGCTTGTACCTTCTTGTTCAATTACGAAGGGCAGGTTTAAATCAGATTGATATGTGCAGATACTATGTGGCATGCATTAGATCGGTGTTAGAGTATGCTTGCCAAGTATTTCATGGAGGTCTGACCAAAGAACAATCCGAAATGTTAGAGTCCATCCAAAAAAGGGCAGTTAGAATTATTTCACCTGGACTATCATACTCTGACGCCCTTGTCTTTCTTAACCTCCAATCCCTTTCTGAACGTAGACAAAAACTATGCCTTAATTTGTTTACCCAAATTCGTAACCCCAGTCACATGCTAAACCATCTTCTTCCTGCTCCAAGAGAAACAAGATACTCTCTTCGGAACAGCAAAGACCTGTACCCTCCCAAATGCAAAACTAATAGATACAAAAATAGCTTCATAGCTTCAGCCTGGTGTCTGTTTAATCTACAATGATCTTGCCAAATTTAATGTATTTTTATTGTCCTTTTTATTGAGTATATTCTCGTTAATCAAATGTAATAATTTTAATAAGAAGACATCAATCCTATTTTACATATTTGTGATTATCATACGACACTGTTTTATTAGTGTCTTCAAACTTTGTACAGGGTATTAAATTTAATTAATAATCATTATTGCCAAATTTATATTGAATTAAAGTACCGTTTAGACATTTTACTTAAATTACACACTTGTTCATTATATGAATTTTAAAATAATTGAGAATGTAACAAATTTGATATCAATTGAATTTTTCTGGATTAATTTTTACAAATAATGCATTATTCCACCACTCAATTTGGGTTTACTTTTTTTTTTTTTTTTTTTTTTTTTTTTTCTTTCTTCAAAATATTCCTCAATTGTAACTGTTCTGAACAATACGTTGATGTCAGTTGATATATGATTATTGGTCCATATATTTATGTTTAAATCTTATTTTACATATATGTTATTATACGACACCGGTTTATTAGTATCAAACTTGGGGGTACTTGGATTCAAGCTTTGTACATGGTATGACATCTAATTAATAATCATTATTGCCAATTTTATATTGCATTAAGGTGCCGTGTAGATGTTTTACTTAAAATTGCACACTTGTTTATTATATGTATTTTATAATAATTTATAATGTAACAAATTTAATACCAATTGAATTTGACTGGATAATTTTTTTTTTTTTTTTTTTTTTTTTTTTTAATACGTATAATGCATTATACCACCACTCAATTTGGGTTTACTGTCTCTCTTTTTCTTTCAAAATCTTTCTCAATTTTAATTGTTGGACAATACGTTGATGTCAGTTGATATATGATTATTGGTCCTGTGAAGTCCTATGTACCTTTTAATTGTGTTTGAATGCGATTGCTGTTGAGTGTTTTTTTTTTTTTTTTTTTTCTTTTCTTCTTTTCATATCTATGTATTTAAAGTGTCAATTTATACAGTTTTATTGTACAAAGTATATATATACATATAACTATATTGTGAACCATTTATATGCCTGCCTTTTTTACTGTATGAAATTCAACTTATGGTTGCAATAAATGAATGATTTAATATAAGTAAGTGTTAGGCGCTATATAAGCAAATATGATTATTATTGATCTCACCATATATTTTCTAGACAAAGAAATTCTCAGTGCTACGAACATCGAGACCAATCAGATCTTCGTCTTGTGGTCAACGGAAACAGAGATGCTCGATGTCGACTTCTTCCAGATGTTCAGACTCTCGTACTCCTCGATGGTGTCTGATTCAATCCTCATCCCCAAAAATGCCATGTCTACCAGCATTGGGTATGGCCATTCAGTCACAGACCTAGTGCCAGGAGATCTTGTCACGTTTAACCTTGAGACTGTCACGTCAAGTGGCCAGGCTACTTTAGTAGACACCATCGTCCGCCGAACAAGTGCGTTTAACACAAAAAACACACACACCAAAATACAGATCTTCTTGATAAGTCTTTGTATTCATTTTGAACAAAAACTTATCAAAAATATCACATTTTTGTGTGTTTATGAAAGAAATATACTTCCATTGTATTTGTCGATACATAAAATAACATAGTGTCCTAAATCTTACTTGGGCAAAGCCACAAACAAATCAGGTTCATGGGGGAAAATGAGAAATGTAGGATATTAAAATCTTATGTCACAATTTATAAAATAGGGAGCCTATGACATCCCAGCCTCATCACAGTGTTGCCAATTTGTCTCCATAAATAGTGATCTTTATATTGTTGTCCGATTTTCCTCAAACTCAATTTTATCAGAGTCTCTGTTTTTTTTTCTTCTTCTAAAGCAATTTATTTGCTGATGACTGTTTTCCTTGAATATTTTTTCTACCATCAAAATTGAATTCATGATGTTTATTATTATCTGAGGGGTACCCAATTTACAAGCTCTGCTTTTCAGTGGACCTCTCCATTTCCTCAAAATATAAATGCAGTTAAATTAAAAAATTAAATATTTGTCTTCCTCAAATGTATAGATTTCTATTAAGATTTATTTTTTTCAAATGTAACTATGTTTTGTATGCATTTTACATTGAATTCGTTATTATGTATTGTATTTTGTTGGAAGTGAAAAAATCAAAATGAAATGAAAAAATTGACTCCCAACTGCTGGCATCTTATCTGATGAAATACATGTATTCTCATCATGTGCAGAGCCTGAAATGGTTGCAATGTACCAAGTACAGACAGATTCATCAACTAGCATCCGGCTGCTGTGGAGAGCGCCATCTGTTGGCCTGTACCGGGGATATCTCGTATCGTACTCGCCAGCCGACGGAGACCAGAGCTCGCCCATAGAATTAGGGCCGGATGAAGAACAATTGACCATCACTGGACTTCAGTTTAACCAGATGTATAATGTCAGTATTAGGTCGATCATGGGGCAAGAAGGCACCTACGTTGAGAGTGATCCAGCATTTGAAATGGTTACAACAGGTACATGTTCTGTACATTTAGCTCTTTTTTTAATTAACAGTGAAGCCTCATTCAGATAAGATGCAGTAAACCGCCAAAAAGAAGCCCCTAACCTGTACATTTTTTTTAATAGACTTTCCATCAAGTCTAAAAATTTGTTGAATATTCCAATGATTTTGTAGTCCCAATTTGCTATTATCTGGAGGGCAATGAGCAGAATTCCAGCTAGGAAACAGAAAAACAGTACTTGGATGAATTTCAAACTTGTTCTCTCCAAAACAGAGCTCCTCTAAATAACAATTTAAAAAAACAGGTCCTCTCTGAGCTTCGCTTTTTGGCAAGCCTCTCTGCTACCAAGGTTTTAGTAACAGTGAAGGATATGATGCAGTAAAACCGCCAAAAACAAGCCCCCAAAGACTTTTTTCTTCCTGTAAATGCATGGCAAATGTGCAACGAAGGTCCTACTTGTTACCTCTGCCACTGGTATGTGTTATAAAATATGGAAATGTGAAGCATAATATACTTTAAATAAACAAAAATTCCACTGCGTTATACTACTACGTCCATGTATCTTGAATACACATAGCACTATGGTTGCCGTAGCCAAAGCCAGGGTAATAATATCCAATGTCCTTTGGAAGTGCATAGAGAAGTTATATCATAATGTGATATGCTGATTACAAGAACAGTATTTTATTATTATTATAAAGATTTAAACCCGATTCATGATGTACTTTATTCATGTACATACAGCTAAATTACTAAATTATTTATACCTGTTGTAAATTTGATATTTTTTTCGTTTTTGGTATCTCAAGAATAAAAGGTGAACTGGTTGAATTAGGACCTTTTTTGAATACTTTTAGATGTAAGCATTGATATCTCACATTCTCAAGAAACATGAATTGGGAAAAATCAATTTTTCAATGACAAAGCTTTGTAAGGATTGACTAATTTAGTTCTTAACTGTATATTCTTTCTATGTCCACAAGGCGAGGGCGAAGAAAACGAGGTCAATATCCGCGACCTTACTTCAACGTCTGTATCCTTCACCTGGTGGGGGACTGGATCGGTTGAATCCCCCATCGGACTCATGCCCATCGGAAGCTGCATGGCGGAAGAACCACCTGAACAGGAAGTGACTTCTAGAGCGGCGACATTTGATGACCTTATGCCTGGTGCCAGATATGCTATTTCCGGCATTGGTGGAGATAATGCAGAGTTTATAGCAGGTGCGTTTAACTTCATAATAATGATAGTAGTAGTAAATAGTAGTAGAAGTAGTACTAGTAATGATAATAATAATAATGAAAATATTATAATAATAATTATATTACAATAGTGATATTACAATAATAATAATATTATAATAATAATAATATTATAATAATAATGATATTATACTACTAACAATGATAATATTAATAATGATGATAATGATAATAATACTAGTAATAAAGTTGATGATGATGATAAAACAGTAGTCATAGTATTAATAATGATAATAATTGAAATATAATATTGATGGTAATAATAGATTGATTCCATTCTTTTCAGTTTGATTCCATCCAATTAAAAGAGGCTTCATTAATTTCATTTTGAGTCAATTCAGTTTCAATTTAATTTCATTCAATTCACTTTGATTGAATTCTATCCATTTTCATTCCACTCATTTCAATTTGATTACCTTCCAATGTATTTGATTCCATTCAATTCAGAGACTAACAAGCAGACACCATTAGGTGTTGCTACAGGTAGACAATCGCAGATAATTTATTGCAAAGTTTGTGTTTTTGTCCAAAATTTCAAACAGTGCCTGACCAAGTAAGCAACATCGTCGTGAAATTCATCAACTCTAGTGCGGTCACCTTTAGCTGGACGGCGCCCTCTGGCTGCTACGACCGGATAGAGATCAGTTACGCCCCAGACACCTGCACCAACCCGTCACCAATTGTGCTCAATCACGATGAAGGCAATGAGTACACTCTGACTCTTCTACAAGCCAACGAGGAATATCAGTTATCCTTTGTTACTCTTCAAATGACAGCCAGGAGCGAGCCCTATGTAGCCAGCGTACGCACAAGTGAGTACAGCAGGATATTTCACATCTGTTTAGAATGTTGAGTTGAAAGAATTTGAAGGAATTGTTATCAGACGATTTTATAAGATGGGTTCTCGAATGTAAGCAATCCGATTGGTCAATTGACATCACGTGGGCGTGTATTAGTTCTTCTCATCGTGCAAAACATCTCCCATCAAAAATTGATAACACACGCTCGATACCTGCTGATATTGCTTTCGCGCAATTCAGCCAAATTTATTTTTTGCATGATTTTCAATATCTAGATCTAGATCTAGAATATTAGAGACCTAGATCTAGTTAGATATAACCTAGATCTTTATCTAATTATACTCTAGGTCTAGACTATATTGTATGAAAGTATAAACAAATAATGCACTGTTTCGCTTGTGTGTTAGCGCAGTTCTAGTGCACTCAGTTTAGTCAGTGCGATATCGATAACGCACTTGCCCTGCGGGCGCATGCATTGATTATCACCTATGTACACTGACTAAACTTTGTGCACTGGCCTTGCGCTAACACACTGAAAACAGTGCATTATTTGTATAATATCTTGGTTGATTGGTTTTTCCTGACTGCTAAGAAAGCATAGACTGATGCCTTTAAGTCCTCTCTGGGAGATTTGGTAATGAGGATTAATGCCTTACCCAAAGGGCGCTTGTACATGTAGACGTGGTATCGAACACAAGAATTCCTGATTTTAAGACCACTGAGCTATCGAGCTATCAGTGGGCAGTTGTGAAAACCCTTCTTCTGTATTTCAAAATGAAAAAAATACACTGTTGTAATTAGAAATTCAGGAAGTATAATTTCCATCTTTGTACCTACATTGCTTTTTTCCACTCGGGTGTTTTAACTGGTTCCTAGTAGGATGTAAGCATTGGTAAAATAGGACCTGGCAGGAATGCCTCCCAGGGAGTGAAGAATGTGCATACATTGTGTGTCGGCAAGCCTGAATCCTATACCGGGGTAATCATATATCCGTGAAGCACTAGAGACATCATGGATGTAGTAAGTCTTGTATAACCTCAGACTATTATTGTATCCCCCGGCAACATGCCGGTGGGGTACTTTGGATTCAGCAGCGTTACGCCACGTCTACCGCCGCGTGCATTGCAATACAAATTGCGATATTTCTAATTACTATTATTATTATTATTATTATTATTTATTCTCTTTGTTCATTTTAGCATGCCCTGAAAAGGAGAAACTCAATGTGGGCTCTGTACAGGCAGACAGCATTTCCCTCACCTGGGGAAACACTACCCAGGCCACTGCAACCGGTTTCACACTTGTGGCCACGCCCGAATCTTCCACCCCCATCATCAGGGAGCTGGATCTGTCTGTGTTAGAATACACATTCGATGGATTGATGAGTGGAGTGGAGTACACTGTAGTGCTCTATGTGAACGGCACCGCAATCACTGATAGTGTTACACAGACTACGTGTGAGTAAATGCATTTTTCAATTTTTAGAATCGCACAAAAGAGTTTATGTAGTAATGTCGATACCACTGTTTACCACTGTGATTGCAAACATTTATCCTCAATAATGGCTTGTTCAGTTTTGGCGCGGCAAACTGTCGCAAAAAATGCTGCTTTTTTTTTTAAACGTGTAAATGACTGGCAATCGTGTGCAACAAAGGATTTGTACATATTCACTGAGCTCTGTGTTGTAAGACACAGAAATGTGAAGTGTATTACACTTCATGTCGTCATGAAAATACTGCTGTGATTTCGCTGCGTCATATCTGAACGAGCCTGAATTATCGTAGAGGTGTTGTAGTTGAGTGGTTTAATCACTTGACTGGAAATGCAAGGTTGGACCCATATCTACATTGTTCCTCTCCACTCATGTGTTATTTGGGTACCCAGGAGGATGTGCAGGCCATTATTTGGCCTGTCTTCATTATCTCGAGATCCAGCTGTTTGAACTATCCCGATCGCAAACTATCCAGCTAATTTGCCTCTTCAATAGACCGAAGTAGCAATAAGTGAGATATTTGGTCGAGATTGTCATCCCAAGATATCTTGGGATAGTTTGCAAAATATCCCACTATTTGGCAAAATATCCAGCTATTTGTGCCGTGCGTCTTCACCAGAACGAGTTTCAAGTTTTGAGGTCGAATCTCAAGCTGATGAAGACGCAATTTGTAACTTCGGGATTATTTCCCAAATCAGAAATAGCGGGCTATTTGGTAATCTCGAGATGATGAAGACGCGCCTATTGTGGTTAGATTGGCATATTATGCGTGCCCGTAAAAAGGCGACTAGCTGGAGTGCCCTCCAAGGGAGTGGAGAATGTGTACTGTAATGTATAGAAAAGTAATTGATTCCACTGACCAGGATAATAATACTGTAAGCACTTTGGTCAGTTAAATGGCAGTCCAACATTTGTAATAACTCCATATCTATGAAAGCTTAAATGTAAGAGAAACAGATTGACAAAAGTTTGAAATAAATCTGACTAATAATGAGGGTGCTATGAATGTTTGAACAATTTGTGATCACTAAATCTATGCAAATCCCAAATTGGCTATTTGGTCATTTGATTGGGATACAGTCAGGAACAACTCCTCCATTTGTCATGTACAAAAATATCATTACATTTCTATTCACTTGGAGCACTACTCAAAATTTATTATGAGTAGAATGTTTGTTTAGGTCCTTTAAAAAGAAAATAACTCTCATATATTTTGAAAAATTCACATTGTAGTAATTGTGTTGAAACGAATAAGAAAGTTTTCTGACACTTCATCACAGTGATTGATTCAGCCAATTTAAAGTGCCCATACATAATGATTACAACTTTCTAAAACTTATTACTTTTTAATTATTTGTCTGATTTCCTTTACCCGTATGCTTCTCTTCTAATCCTGGTTTCTCTCTGGGTAGACGTCTATTAAGGTTGGATTTTTCTTTAAAGGCTAAAGTGCTTTATAACTAGGCCTAATTTTGCCCTTTGCGACCAACCCTAAAATCTTGAATTCTACGGTTGGCTTTTAATTTTTTTATATTTTTTTTTACCGTGTTTTAGAGAGAAAAGAATATTAAAGCATTCAAAACTGAGAAATATCAGCCCGAAGAGGGAGAGGAAAAAAAAAGGTTAAAAAAAAAGAAGAAAGTTTCTGACCGACCAACCCACGTTTTGGCACCTAAAGGGTAATACAAATTTGTTTTTTAGGCCTTAGAGAAGGAGAGAAAGAGTGAAAGTAACAAAGTAATAAACAGATTGCCGGAAATAGAAATACAAATGTAATGGGTAATACATGTAGGGCTGTAAAGAACAAATGTGGTATGGAGATAAGTTTTGACAAATCATGAACTCCATTTTTTCCAGGTCCAAGTGAAGCCCAGAATGTGACTGTAATCTTCTCTACCCAAACTTGCCTGACCTTCGCTTGGCTTCCACCAGAGGGGAACTTTCACAGGTGTTAAAAAAAAAAGGTTGACAATCTTTATTGTTACAAAAATGTTCACATAAAAACATCAATAAAATATGATAAATATATAGCGAATGAAAGCAAAATTAAATCCCTACCAACATATTAAGATGAAGTTTTTAATTGTCATGCTTGGATGGACACATTCATTTAACCGTTATAAGGTCTGAAGCACATTGCAAAAAGAGAGCATGTAGCCGTTCAAATGTTAATCGACATGTCATCTGTAAGACTTTCTTGTTCAACAATGAAAACAAAGATTGAGAAATAATAAGGAGAATTGAGCTCTGGATGTCAGCTGTAGTGTCAGGACTGCATGGTTTAATAAGCATGGTCAGGATGCCACTCCTTTCCTGTTTCTTGTGATTGTTTTTTTTTATTTTTCATCGTTTTAGCTTGACTTAGCTAGATGGAAATGCTCATCAGTTTTGGTATTTTTTCAGAGACTCATTGTTAAATTGCAATATTTATTTGAAAATCTGAATAATGAAAAGTGCCAACTTTCTTTTGTTGCTGAGTGTAGTATACATCTATATATGTGATCCAGCTCCACAGACGTTATGGATCAAAATGATTATGAGACCAGTAGCTAAGGTCATAAAGAATGTACTACAATAACCTCAAGATCAGACAAACATAAGTGTACAAAACTCAAAAAAATTCATCTTGTAGATTATTGGGTGCTTTCAAAATTTGATATAGGAATGAATAATCTTTAAGGAAATGTTAAAAAGTGAAATTTTACAGTGCTCACCTAATGCACCTGTATTGAGCTCTAATTGAAAATCACACCATTTGACTGTTTGGTGGTTGTATGGTGCTTGGTCAAATTTTGACCACCGAAGGGAGTTATATTTTTACAAGGGGCTAGTCATGTAATTTGATAACGAGGGAAAACTAACTCCCTTGCAGTCCAAAGCATGTATATAACACTCCCTTTGAGTTACTATCTGTTATATTACTTACAGATAGAAGGGTGCGATTGGTCAACATGTCACATAATATCAGTTGCGATGATCATAATTAACATATTTTTCCCCTTCCAATTTCGATATTTATATTGATTATTTAGGCAAAGGAATATAATTGTACATTTTACTATATCCAAGCTCCAAGCAACTCTTCGCGTTTAGGTCAGTATTAGGTATTCACCACTTCAGTATTAACTTCAACACTATACCTAACACTAATCCTCACCCTAAACCTATAAACCTAAAACCCAATTGCAATCCTAACCCTAACCCCATACTTGTGAAGGTATCAAACCAGGAGCAATTGTTGCCTTTGCAATTGTGGACACCGTCCTTGTATGTGTATAATAATTATCTTTTTTCAAATTCTGATTGAACGCAGCTATGAGGTTTTTGTCAGACATGGCAATCCTCCAGTGTTTGTCTTAGAGCGGACTGTTTATCCAGATGATGATCTGAATGTGTTGGTAGAGAACCTCGATGCCAGCACACTCTACACCATCGGTGTGGTCACCGTTGTTGACGGATTTAAGGGGATGCCCGCCCTCGCCATTCAGCGAACAAGTAATCATTTTAATCTTCTTATTCCAAAGATCTGGGGAGCCCTTTTAAGGCTCGTTCAAAATATGATGGGGGTAAACTACAGTGTTTTTTATGACATAAATGTATTAAAGTGTAATGCTCTTTACATTTCTGTTTCTCATAAAATGCAAACAAATGAGTACATGGACATGTAGGATATTTGTTGCACGCAGCCACTTTATTCCCCTCCCTACATGCTATTCTTTTGCATGTAAAAAACAAACAAAAAGACTTGTGTATCTTGTGTGAATTAATCAAGTTCTGTTTTTATTCATGCTTCAGTTTAAAAGACATGCAACATTTATATTATATATGGGCTTGAGTGGTACATCAGACATATTGACAAAGCTTAAATCATGTTGCCCCAAGTCGAAGACGAGGGCAATGTGGTCTTACCCCGAAAGAAGCCCTGTCAATATAATCATTGTTACCTATACAAGGCATTTTTTTACAAATGATAAACAACTTTGGTAATAAGCATGATACATGTATGTTCTCACCTTGTATGCATGTATTTCCCTTACTCATGTCCAGAGATGAAAATGTATATGAAAATGTCATTGTGACTTAAATTGTTACCGCGAGTGCACTTTAACGTGTACACGATACTGCACATATGCACTTTAATAAAAGCGCATTGACAAGAAAGAGTGGAATGTTGCCATCTGATTTAGTACAGTGGTCTACGGGGAAAACCTGGAAGAGGGCAATATGGCAAATATTGCCTGCTCCGGTTTCGTATTTGGAGTAGCGTGCAAACTATGACTTTTTATTCTACAGCTAAAATGCCTTGTATGGGTAACAGTACAATATATACAAAGCATAAATTAAAGAATAAAAGGACCATCATTAAGGCACTGCATGGCAGTGCCTGAAAAGGACGTCACACGTATCAGCCCCCTATGTCGACGTTCAAATCTAAAAAAAGTCCCTATTGAAAGCTTATTGAGGTTTTACAGGCTGATGGGCCCAAGAATGGGCAAGTTTTAAACCTTAATATTTTGGAAGAAGAGAAAATGTCAGGTAAAACAAATTTGTTGGGGTATTGAATAATAACAATTAATACAAAATTAAAAATTAGTCCTACACCTTTCAGGACAGGAATTTGTATAGGCTAAATTGATCACATGTTGATCTGTATCTGAAAACGTATTGCCAATGAAAGGATTTAAAAGCATATTTTCCTTTTTTAAATTCCTGGTGTGGAAGGCAGTGTGGTCATACAACAAAAATAGATAGTGTACGCAGAATCTTGTGCCTTTTGTACTCCTAAATCTGGTATATTATTTAGGGCTCTGAATCAAAAGTTTTTGAGCAAAACCACATTCAAACACTTTTGTATAGACCACATTTTGTTATATAAAACATGGTTTATGAGTACAGGCATTTGAAGCAGAATCTCTTGGGTGTTTTGGTAAAATCTTGAAACAAGAAAACCCCTTGGCACATTAAGAATTAATGTAATCTTCTTCTATACTATTTCCTTTCAGCTGATAATCTTGTGATGACCTCAACCGTGGCTGGTGATAGCCAGGCTGTGACAGTCTCTTGGCAGAGACCTGATGGCGCTGACTACTTCAACCTGGTGTACATTCCAGATAACGGCGACATGGCCAATAGTGATTTGACCAACCTCACTGACCTCTCGGTGACCATCGGTAGCCTGACACCTGGCAAGAGATATGTCTTTATTCTGTCTGTTCACGACATGGATGGACAAAGCGCTTTGCTGGCGCAGACTTCATATACTCTCAGTAAGTCGGTAGCTTCAGTGGTGGGTCCAGGATTATTTTCCAGGGAGTATATAGGGAGGGGCAGCAACAGTTAGTTTATAAAGGGCAGATTTATAGCATGACAAAGTAAAAAGGATTGTCAGAGTTTCTTGTGTCAAAACATCTGACAAGACTGACAATGTTATTTTTTAAGGGATAGGAAAGGACAGCACCAATTTTTTTACCATGGCCAGAAACACGTAATCCAATCCAAAAGATATTTTATATGGCGCCTATTCCTTGCGGTTATAAAGTGCTGCACACACCGCTCTACAATGTTTGGGCCACTTATAAACAAAAGTTAGTCACCTTTCAAAGAAGATAAGTGAGAAAGAAAACAATCATCGAAGTTTTCCGTAGGCTTTAAAAACATGTACACAGCACAAACTTTGGCAGAGTATTTTGAATGGCTCATTGAATCAAATATTTCAAAGGCCAAAGGTTACTTGGTCAAAAAATGTTATAAAGAAACAGAAAATATCTTGTTACCATAATCATTTGAAAAGCGTTAAAGCAATCCAAACCTAACTTGGATGAATTATGAATGAACATACGAGGATGAAATGATTAGATTTTGGGCAGAAAAGTTCAATGGTCATAGGGTCAGAAAAGTGTTGAAAAATCCCAGAAAATATCTTGTTGTTGCGATAACTTGAAAAGTATTAAGATAGGGCCAGCATGGAGCCCAAGCCCGACTTTGGTTCCATGTGCACAGTTTTTAGGTTATTCTTTATTTTCTTCATACTTCTTATCCGTTAGCCCATAGAGTGCAGTTGAAAGCTTTTTTGAAATGTTGATTTTATACTTTCTATCTGTACACAATGGTGCTCACGATGTTGGTCTGCTGCGTTCTAAATTACCTCTCTAGTTTATTGAAATATATTTTGTACTTCTTTTCTTACTTGTATGCTTCGTACATGTTTATCGTATGATATAATTGTACATGATTTTCTATTTAATTTCTTTTATAAACATTTTATTCATTGTATTTGTTATTGCTCAAATTGTTGTACTTTTAATATGAATTGTTGTATATTTTGAATGCAGAAACAAAATCAATCAAACAAAAACAAAAAATATTATTTAGGAAATTGGTACACTTTAACCCATAGCAGAACAGTGTCTCCTTTTAGTGACGTTTTTGCATTATGATTTGATCCAAAATGCCCTGAATTATACATTATACTTGAGCTGAAAATCACTACAAATTTTGAGTGTCTTTCCAATGCAGTACACTATGCCAATCTCGATTAAGAGCAATTCAACTGTAACTAGTCAATAAAGTCTCTTTATTGGCAACATAGTGTTAAATATAAAATAACTATTTTTGTGTACAAATTGGCAATTTTTGTTTCACTTTGGTTCGTGTAATAAACATTTCATTTTTCTTCTTTTTAAACTAAGAATGAGTGGAGAATAAGTTTAATTGTGGCCAATTGGATGAGGGAAAACTATTTATTTTAGAAAATAAGAAGAATCTGAACTATTTTGGTAAATGCAAACAAACATATTTTCTTGTACCCACAGGACCAGAGAGGCCATTAATCCTTGACGTAATGTCTTCTGTAACTATTGCTGCAATGGCCGTAACAGCACAGGAAGGAGTGTATGAAACGTACAAGATTAGTATAAGTCCATCAGGCAGAACTTTCCAGGGTGACCGGGCAGCATTGATCTTTCAGTACATATCAGGGCTTGAACCCGACACAGACTACATAGCCACTGTTACTTTCAAGACCGGTGATGAAGAAGCAGAAGCGGACTATGAATTTGAAACAAGTATGCATCTTGCTAAGAACTTTTTCTTCTAATATAGTTAAAGGGGAAGGCCACCCTGATAAAAAGTTGGTTACAATAGCAGCAGAAAACCCAGAGGAACACTTCCCCTTTAAAGATGATTTCTTTAATTTTAGATGATAAATAGGAAGATAATAGCTTTAATAAGCTGCCGTGAAGTTTTTCCTCATCAAGTGAAATATTAAACAAATGAGCGGTAGAAGATAACATCCTAGGATGTAATTTCTAACAACAGCGTCCTGCACGCACTACATGTGTGTAAAACCTGTGTAAATATCTTACAGTCTACCCACATTCCGTCTCTAAGCGAAGCGCTGAAATGAATGTACCAGGAGCCGTCGGGTTGGGAGGGTCATAGCAAAGACCAGCTTATTTTTTATGCCTCCGTTACGAAGTAGCCGGAGGTAATTATGTTTTTGGGTTGTCCGTCCGTCCGTACGTCTGAACGTACATGTACGTACGTACGTCCCGTTCTCGTGATTGCGTTATCTGAAGAATCAATTGATGGATTCCTGCTAAACTTTGGTCATGTATGTATCTTGCAGAGCCGATGAACTGATTAGATTTTGGGGTCACGAGGTCAAAGGTCAAAGGTCACAGGGCTCATTATGTATGCAAAAACAGCTTGTGACCGCGTTATCTCAAGAACCGATTGATGGATTCCTGCCAAACTTAGGTCATGTATGTTACTTGCAGAGCCGATGAACTGATTAGATTTTGGGGTCACGAGGTCAAAGGTCACAGGGATCATTATGTATGCAAGAATAGCTTGTGATCGTATTATCATTAGAACAGATTGATGGATTCCTGTCAAACTTAGATCATTTATGTATCTTGCAGAGCCAATGAACTGATTAGATTCTTGGTTCATAAGGTTAAAGGTCAAAGGTCATGGGCTCATTATGTATGCAAAAATAGCTTGTCAACGAATTCTCATTAGAACTGACAGATGGATTACTATTTAACTCAGGACATCTTGCAGAGCCAATGAACTGAGTAGATTTTAGGGTCATGAGGTCAAAGATAAAAGGGTCATATATGTATATGAGAAATTGCTTGTAATCACGATATTCTGAGAACCTGTTAATGGATTACAATTGAACTTGAATTTGAAAAATTTCTTCTGTTTTGGTTTGTAAAATTGCTCTATGACGGAGGCATCATTTTCGACTGCGCGCAGTCGAAGTTCCATCTAGTTTTCTCTTGAAGTATAGTCCCAAAATGAATATTGCATCATGAAAATTTGGCAAAGAATTATACAAAACTATGATAGTTTCTACATTTGTACTCCGATTGCTAGAAGCATTGATTGACACTTAAGCGTATAAAAACAACTATGTCTCTCATAGCAGTCATTATTACTAGACTATCATATTTTTCATATTTTCTGCTTTCATCTTCTCAGTCTTGTTACAGAGACCTGCAAAAAGAACATTGAACAAACAAAATTGATGCAGGAAAACCAATTTTCTGAAAAAGAAATGCTCCGATCTAGAGACTGCATTTCACCCCACTTTGTCTTTCAAACAGAGATTTTGAAACTGCATCTGATCCTAGTTTTACGTGTCTCTGTGGGGATTATCATACATTATTACTCTATAGCATTTGAAAAGATGAACTAAAACAAGAAAAATTTCTCTTTCTACTTTTCATCTGTTTGTTTGGAAAAATAAAGAAATTATTTAAAGTTTGTCAAGCAGAACTTGTTACAAGGTCTGAAAACAAGGTTTGAATTGGCCGCTGCCTCTTAATCCCTGTTCTCATCAGGATCTTCTGGAATGTAAGCTGGGTATTTGAGGTCTTTCTACGACCGAAGGGGGGGGGGGGGCATTATGCCCCCACTTCAAGATCTAAGGCTGATCGCCGCCAAAGTTTGCATGCATGTCAAGTGAAGTGTGTAGAATACTATGGTAATTTCAATTTTTTGACAAATTCAATCATTTGTATATATTTATGGTTATTTATGCAAATAAGGTCATAATTTCTTTTTTTTTACCCCAAAATCATATATTCTTCATAATCGGAAATTTGTTTGCACTACATATATCCATTTGGAATAATAATACAACAAAAAAGATTGGGAAGAGCCAGGTTATTCATTATGTTATGTATTTTGATAATTTCTTATGTATTTCTTTGTTTTTTAATCTTAGATATTTTATGGTTTCTGTTTTATTATCCACTCAGCAACGAAGTCGGAGGGTATATAGTAACGCTGCCGTCTGTCCTTCTGTCCGTCCGTAACAAATCTGGTTTCTGTTCGATAACTTTAGTAATGTTTGACAGATTTTAATCAAATTTGATATGAAGGTACATGGTATCACAACACATCCTAAGTTCGATTTCGGAGTATGTTTTTGATAACTTAAATTTAGTGATGTTTGAAGGATTTTAAAAAACACCAAATAACCAATGTTTTACCGGTATCTCTTTTGGGGAAAAATGATATGTTTGGTACACAGATCACGAAAATGAGCAATTTTCGGGCTGACATACAAAGACAAAAGGGTCATGTGACTTTGTAACAGTAGGTCCGATTTTCAGGCCTGATTAGGGTTAACATAAGGCCTATTTATACAGCAAATATTGTTCAAGTTTTATATGAATTCATATCACAGGTGGGTTTTGGGGGTTGCTCATGGGTAGTTGCCTGGCAATTTCTGAGAAAACACTGGTATGTGAGAAAAACCAAAGGTCTTTAGCTTGCAGCATAACTGCATCTATAATTGAGCCCTCATGTAGTGAGAAGTGATTGACGTGCTGTTTCATTGAAACTGACAATTTTCCTAATGTCGTAGAATATGCCTTTATATCTTCCTCAAGGTTTCAGCATTATATTGCACTGGTTTTGAAAATATTTCACTCATCTCGCAGACTCGTAAAATATGCTTGCCAGCTAATGCGATATGCCTTTGTATCCTCCCCAAGGCCATTCAACATTATTTGAATATTGATCAGTTCTCAATCATCTCATCAATATTCCTACAGATCCTCTAAGAATGGATCAACTTTATTCAGATGAGGTAACAACCGATTCTATTGGACTTGTCTGGGAAGTGATTCCTGACACAGACACATATGCCATTCAACTCGACGACAGGTTATTCTTCACTCTTGAGACTTCATATGTACTGACTGGTTTAAAGGCTGGTACCGAGTATTCCCCTACTCTTTTGGTCAGGAAGACGGGGATGACTGAATTAGATAATGTAGATACTACCGCTATTTATACATGTGAGTAAATTGTGAAATTAAATCTTGGCTCTTGATGTAGAGTCATTTTTTTAAAATTACCATGAGTAGCGCATCAAGGAATTTAAGATGGCATTATGATTTTAGGTCGTCTGTCTGTTTTTCCTTTCATCCTGCTTTCTGTTACCACCATAATTTGAGAACCATTGCACCTATTTTAACCTGAAATAATCAGAATAATATTTGTTTTTTTAATTGAAAAGATTTTTTAGTTGCTGAAGTCAGATGTAAAAGTTCTTAGGAGAATTGGTCAATGACCATGCTGTACTTATAGACTGAGATATTTGAGAGACGTAGTCACATCCATCTTCTTTAATTTGATATGGAACCAAGAAAAGAAAAAAGACCTAATACTTTTGATTGAATGGGCTTACAATAGTGACTTAACCCTATTTTAACTGGGCTATTTCAGATCAGGTTTTTACTGGGGGAGGAGGGGTCAATTTGACCCCCCCTAAGATCTCGGCCGTTTCACAGCCGATTGCCGCAAGAATTTGCATGCATGTAAAGTAAAGTGTATAAAATACAGTTCAGTTCTGGTCATGCGATTGCATTGTGAAAGAAACGGTGTGGAATCGATCAGAAAAGGTTGACCATCTAGCATATAAGTATTTGTGTGTATTGCAAGGTTCTGGAATCATCAAAATGATAAGAAATTTGGCCGAGTCTTGGTAAAGTTCGAGCACTGTGCACAGAAGGATGTATATGGGACTACACGAACACGTGACGTAAAAATCCGTCCCGATTTCTACGCTTTTACATGCCATATTTAGAATATGAAGGCATTTGAAGAGCCTTACTTTTCAGGGAACATGTTTTATCTGATGTTCTTCCGTCCTTGCATAAAAACAATCATGATAACTCTCACAAATTATTTTTCATCTCTTCCCAGAACTCAACCTTCTCTTTAAGCTTTCTTTTTCACTTCATATATTCATTAGACCATTTAGAATAATACTACGACAAAATTAAAGTAAGAGCCAGATTATTCTTTATGTTATCTCTTGTTTTGATAATTTCTTATGTATTTCATTGTTTTGTTAACTTATGTATTTTATTGTTTTTGTTATTTTATTTCATTTCTAACTACAATTCAATTATTTGACCCCAAAACAAACACCTAAACTTTAAACGAGACCAAATAACCAATGTTTTATCTCTTTTTAGGAAAAATGCTATTTCCATATGTTTTGTACACAAATCACAAAAATGAGCGATTTTCGGGCTGACATGCAAAGACAAAAGGTCACATGACTTTGTAACTATACGTCTGATTTTCAAAAGAATTGTTTTAAAAGATGTGGAAGACTCGGAAGAAAAAAGTCATGGAAGGAAAACTTTATATCTGCCGTGGTTCCGGAGTAGTCGCTAAATAACTACCCCCCCCCCCCATAACATAGGGTTAATTTTTATTAGATATTAGTAATTTATTGGAATATTACTGTACCAGAACTAGGAAAAGTTATCTTCAGTGTGATTATTATAGCAACAGCTCTATTGATTTATTGGCATAGGAATGCAGTACAGTTTCTTGGAAAGCAGCTAAAAAATCACCTCCAAGTGAAAATGGGCTTGAGCTCAAATTGTGCTTTATATTGCGTTATGATTGTCATTGTGACAGCATTGTTATAGCTAGCAATCATTTCTATAAAGTTAATTTCAAATTCTTTACCTGCAGTACCAGAACCAGTCTTGTTCTTTGAAGTGAAGGAAATTATTGACAACAACGTCACTTTTGTTTGGAGTGGCCCATCCTCAGACTTTGAGGGATATGGTCTGGCTATCGCACCACCAATCAACAGTTTCACTTCATCTCTCGATGAGAAGGAGATTACCATACAGGTCAACACAAATAAAGAGTTCCTAGCCTCAATCTACACCTATGCCGGACCTTGGTCTAGTGAGCCTTCAACACTGAATGTCATCATAGGTGAGTTTGTGGCCCAGCGCCACGTTCAAACTACCAAAAAATTGTGTGGTCAGGCAGACACAACTTTGGAAAACCAAGAATAGGTAAACTCTTCAAAAACAGTGAATAGTGTGCAGGAAGGTACAGCCCTCATCGCTCAATATGAGGCATCATGTTCGAATGGCAAGGGGGAAATCTGGTAAAGTGAACCTCCTCTTGATACTTGTATTTATTTTTGGGAAACAATGCTGTGGATAAAATCAATTATTTCAAATAGTTGCCATTTAAATGTTATCTTGATAATGATAACAATAGCTGCATTTAGTACTATCATTACAATAGATTTATCCCAGCTGACCTAAGGCGCCTTAAACATTCAAGGAGTAAATTAAATCCTACCAGGTACCCATTTTATACTTCACCTGGTTGGAGAGTGGCAATGTTCATGTAGATCTTGCTTTCCCACTATTACACTATTATCGGAGTGGGACTCAAACTCCAAACCTTGTTATCTACAGTCCAACTAACCATTCAAGGATTTTGAAGTTAATTGAGCCACACTATTTTTCTTTAAAAAATATCCTATTAACAACAGGGTGACTTAATTTGCCAGACTTCCCCAATGCCTTTTGTACACACTGCTTCGCATTGCACGATGAAGGCTCTTCTTTGTCGTTTTGGAAGTATTTGCCTGTTCTCTGTTTTCAGAATTTGTGTCTGATTGATGGCCTGACTTCTAGGTTAGAGAGCTATAAAGATGTAATTTGTTCATTTGTGTGGTATTTTTCATGTAAAAGTATACATTCATCTTCAGGTATGAAATGTCAAATTAAGAAACACCACCGACAACATATCAATTTGTTGTATATCTTGTTCGTGTGGTCTGGAATTCATTTTATTAATCTCCTTTCTTAACGTTTTGTACGTTTGTTTATTTTGATGTATATGTACATTACCATTATTCAAAAATACAGTCTATAGTAATATAAGTAGGTACTTCGATTTGATATTGAACAGGATGTGCTTAATTTGATATTGAACAGGATGTGCTTAATTTGATAATGTTTTCACAGAAAATTCTATTATTGAATTCTAATCCTTCTTTTGATCTTCTAGTACAAAGCCTTGTGAGTGAGAGGGCTTTAATAAATTCCAAATTTTAAATGCCTCTTTTCCTCTAAATAAAACTAACATCTCTAGGGAATAGGATATTCTTCAATCTCCTTTTCCCCTTCACTTCTGATGAGTTTTATGTCATTGTAAAGCTAAGAATCTCTTCTGTTTTAGAAATGGTCTTAAAAATCATATCTGTGACTCTATGGTGTTTTTTGGCGTGATGGGTCTTATTTATTAATGTACAGTTTATGTATCTAACCTTCTATCGTCTTTCAGATTCAGAATTTAACATGATGGCTTTTTCTTACAGTTGACCTTTCCTTTACAGATGAATCTTTTGAAGAGAGTGGTGAGAGCATACATTAAGGACTCTTCGATTGTCACATCTACATAGTAAATTGCAACATTGCGTCATTCTGACGATCTGCGCATGCGCCATGATGTCTACCCTGTAGAGAACGTGTGTTCAGCTCGGTTTTGACGATCACCTCAATGTTTAATGCCGTTCTCTATAGCAATACCGTAGTTGGTATCTAGTTCTCTGTATACCTGTACGTCGTTCGTTCGTTCGTGTCTCCTTAGATCAAGATTAATGTACAGTTCCTTAATTGAATTAAATTAAATTAAATTAAGTTCTTCCATCACCCAATGGCTGCGATGGCCGTCTCATTAACAAGGGCCAGGTTTTCATCTGTGCAACCCGTTCCGCCCCACTTCAAGATGTGGCCCATCGTCTGAGTCTCTCCACAGTCGCAGAGAGTATCTTCTTCATGGGCATAGCCCCATCTTTCCATATTGACCTTACACCACCCCATTCTCGTCCGCATTCGATTTAGGCATTTCCACTCTGGCCACTTCAGGTTTAGTCCTTTGATGAGTATGGGCTTGACTGGTGGTGGAGGAATCCACTCAGGTGGTGGGACAGAATTGAGGAAGCTGTGTCGGGATACATGGCGTCTGTGGGGTGGCAGGTAGCCATATAACATGTGTCTGTCATCTGTCGCCTGCTTCATCAATTTCTTTAGGCAGGTGTTAGAACGTCCTTGGTTTGGAGATCCGATGCCAGCGAGGTGATATATATATCCTCAACTTTTGGCTGTTTCAGGCAGCCTGGTAGCTTTCGATATGTGTTATTGAATGGAGTATCAATTAGCCTTTTCACATGGGCTGATCTGCTCCAAACTGGGCAAGCGTATTCTGCGGATGACATGCAGAGGGGATCTAGCTGCAGATTGTACAGTTTTGGGGTCAGCGCCATTATATTTCAGCCTCGGTCTGCGGCCTAATGAAATATAACATCTTCCAGGAAATTCTGAATTTGTTGGTTCATACATTTTGTTATATTGAATGCCTGAGCATGCATATTTATATCATGTGATCCAAACATGCACCCACAGACCCAAGGGAACCTGGGACTATTGACGTGGAAGATTTGACCTCGACATCCATCTCAATCACGTGGATCGAGATAGCAGGAATCACTGACTACATTGTCAACCTCACCCTGGCAAGCAACAACACCGAGCTGTTCTCAGGAGTCATCAGAAGTTCCCGCAAGGCCAGCTTCTCAGGACTTATGCCGGGAGAGGAGTACATCATCAAAATTGGGTTGCAGTGCGCTGGAGAAGTTCTCTCTCTTCGACAGTTCACATGTAAGTCAGTTATTAAAGCTCATGTATAATTAGCATGTTTGTATCAAAAAAGAAATTTAATTCTCCTTGTATCAAAGCATACATGTACATGTATATACAAGATGATTGGTATTATATCCATGATTTCAGGTGAATTGTAGTGTAAATATCAACAAGGAATGGATAGATAACGGCTATACAAACCCTTACAATAGGATCGACCCTTCCCTCCCCCCCCCCCCAAAGGTCCTTGGCACATTAATCCAAGCATTTGGCTTAGAGACAGTGTGTATGTGTTGACTGTAGCATATACACTCAGTCCTCGTAGGCTTTACATGCGAGTAGTGCAGGCTACTGTTGTGAGAATTTACATACCAGGATGGTATTTCATTTTTTTTCTATATTTCTATTTCACTCGAGGAGGAAAAATTCACAGTATTGCTAGTATCTTGCTATTTAATCATCTAAAATCAAAGAAATTTGACGAAAGGTTTTTGAGGGCTTAATTACCACAACTGTACACAGCCCTTTTCTTTAACCCTTTAATACCAGATCGATGCGCATGGGGCGTTGTTCCACGTCTACCAATTATGCCACACACACATAAATGTGTTTAGCAGGGTATTATCACATGAATGACATTTGCAGGAGGATTCCTTATAGTTTGCTATTCTAGTTAAAGCAATATACATTTACATGTGTACCTTTGATTCTATGTACATGTACATGTTCATCTGTAAGACTTATTGTAAGAATTATTCAAGCAAACGTGTAGTCCATGACTATTGGAAGAACAGAAGCCTTTGAATGTTTGAAACAGATAAATGGTGTCATACAAGTGCTGTAGATCATCATCAATGTGATTGTTATTATTATTGTCTTTATTATTATTATATTATCCTTTACAGTACCTCTTGAGCCGGTGTGCGTCGTCTTTACTTGGGTCACCGAAGACTCTGTCACCCTGCAGTGGTCTCGACCTGAAAGCCAGCTCTTCGGTTACGAGATCATGTACGACGATGGCAGTGGTCCGTACAGTCCTATTAATGTGTTCGACAGGAACTCTTTGCAGTTGGAGAGAACGATCATGGGTTTGATGGACGGATCAGGTGTTGAGGTGAATATCACCACGCTCGCTGGTACAGGAATAGCCCAGACCAGAAGCAACTCCGTCAAGATCAGTCCAAGTGAGTAACTACACTGTTAGCTTTAACCCTTACTGTACTGGGGGGGGGGGGCCTGGGAAGCCCCCCCCCCCTCGACATTTTCGGAGATCGCGCCGCAAACGCTTGGAATTTTGAATTGTCGTTTCATGACTTTTTTCCCTCAAGTCTTGCGCACATTTTGATACCATTTTCGTCAAAATCGGATATACCTGTAAGGTGTTACATAACAATTAGTATGCGCATGTCATCAAAAAAGTGCTATAATTGCATATATTCATGTACAAGCAGAAATGTGAAGATATGAATTGATATCAAATTGCTTTTATATGTTTCTCAGAGTAACTTGATGTATTCCAGAACAAAAGAATACATTAGAAATAAAACAATAGATATAATAAGAAATAAAAAACAATAAAATACATAAGAAAATAAATAGTTGAAAATCGCATCAAATTTGCATAAATTATCATTATTAATAACATCAAATAACTATTTTGTGTTAGAAAAGAAGTTTCATAAGAATAATGAGTTTCAACATTCAAAAAGTGGAGTCTGACAATTTTAGTAATGATTCTAGTTCCCTAAATATAGTTCCAGATTTGATATTCATGAATGCGTAATTTGCTTATTCATAATTTCTGCAAATTAACCTATGCATTTTCAAATATCATAAAAATAATGAAACCTCATGAATTTGAGATGAAGGAAACATTTATTCAATACATTTTCAAGATTCTTCACAAGTCTACGGACAAATATGTAGAGTTTTCTGTAATATGCATAAAATTAGCATTTTGCATAATTAATTAGGCTATAACGACAAAAATTTGCATATTAGGAAAAAACTAATTATGCCATCTTGTTCCTTACGTAAATATCTACAAATATGCAAATTTTTGTGTTCGTCGGACATTCGACGGTCAAGATCATAGGCCCCCCCCCCCCCCCCCCCCCAGTCAGAGGGTACTCAAAATAGCCCAGTACAGTAAGGGTTAAGCCTAACCACAAAACATCTCTTCTCTTATCAACCTTCAAAAGCCAAAACTTAACAATAACGGGGAGTGATTGTCTCTGCAGTTCCCTGTTGGGGAACAGATTTCCAAAATCAGTGAAAAATTTTAAAACTGTAGATCACTTTCAGAGAAAAACACATTTAATAATAATTATAATATTTTAGGTTTTTGTATAGTGCATATCACATTTTAACGTCTCTATGCGCTCCCAAAGAGCTTTGGAAATTATTACCTAGGCTTTAGGCATGGCTGCCATTACGGCGCTCTAACATTGTTGCTATTTGCGAAACCTGGCTATCACCCGACGATGCTGCTCCGATCGGCCAACTGACACCACCTGGCTTCACTTTCAAGCACATACCCAGAACTGACAGACGAGGAGGGGGAGTAGCAGTGCTGTTCAAAAGTCAACTTGATGTCAGAATCCTGGACTCCCCAAATATAACATCATTTGAAATGATCCAGATGACCATGAACCATAAACATAAAATGTTACATTTGATTGTTGTTTATCGTCCACCAAGTCTAACACAGCTAAAGACTTTCTTGGAAGAGTTCTCCAATGTTCTAGATGGGCAGCTTTTATGCTCTTCCGACTTGCTCATCACAGGGGACTTCAACATACCCATGGACACATCAACTACAAGTTCGAAGTCCTTCTCCGAACTATTATCGGCCTATAATCTGGCTCAACATATAAATGAGCCAACCCATAATCGTGGTCATGTATTAGATTTGCTCATAACCCATAAGGATAATACTGTACAACTTATTAATATTGGTGTTAAGGAAGGTATATCTGACCACGCAGCAGTAATGTGTGAATTGACCATTCCAAAACGATATAATAAGAAAAAGTTTGTTACAACACGGAACTTGAAATCTGTAGACCCAAAACAGTTTTTAGATGACACTCATGTAAAGTCTCTTACATGTATATCAACCGGTTCTCATGCAAATAGTGTAGATGAAGAAGTTAATTTGTATAATACCTTACTCACATCGGCACTTGATACGTTGGCACCAGAGAAGCAGCTCCGTGTCACAATTCACCCCAATACTGAATGGTATAACCAAGAAATAGCTCAAGCAAAACTGCTTCGTAGACAATTAGAGAGAAGATCAAGGTCCACCAAACTGGAGATTCACAGGCAGATGTATCGTACCCAAAAACAACATGTAAAAGCCTTGATTAAGATTGCTCAGTCAAATTATCACTCAAAAAAAGTTGAGGATTGTGGGAAAGACACAAAGAAACTGTATAAAGTTGCTAATAATTTACTACACAGAAAACAACCATCTCCTTTACCAGAACATCTCACTCATGGTGATTGGTTGAAGCTTGCCAATCGTTTTAATCAATATTTTGTAGACAAAATTCTAACAATCCGACAGTGCTTCCAAACTCATGTTGTACAGTTAGATGACACTGATGACACTGTTTGTGAAGTCAAATCAGAGTTAAGTGAGTTTCGGTTGGTCACTATCAGTGAGATGGAAACATTTATCAAGAACTCACCAAACAAATCATGTGAGCTTGATCCAATCCCAACAGATTTGGTTAAGAAGTGTAGCACAGTATTGGCACCTGTCATCACAAGCATTATTAATGCTAGCCTTAGTTCAAGTATTGTCCCACAGGTTTGTAAGACAGCTGTCATCCATCCAACCTTGAAAAAATCGGGCTTAGATCAGGAGTGCCTCAAAAATTACCGCCCAATCTCAAACTTATCTTTTTTGAGTAAACTGCTGGAACGGGTTGTTTTCTCACAACTGACTGCATATTTACGAGATAATGAATTGTTTGACCCATGTCAATCTGCCTACAGGCCTGGTCATAGTGTGGAAACACTACTTGTCAACTTAACTGATACTATCTTTAGAGAACTGGATTGCGGAAATATTACTGCTCTTATTATGTTAGATATGAGCTCAGCTTTCGATACAGTAGATTACTCTATCCTGACTCGAAGGTTGAAATCATTAGGTATCAAGGGTACCGTCCTCAATTGGTTTATATCATACCTCTCTGAACGATCTCAGTATGTAAAAATCGGTAATTCTACCTCTGGTAAAACGACTATGAAGTATGGTGTACCCCAGGGTTCGATAGGAGGACCACTGCTTTTTTCTCTTTATATGCAACCAATCAGCCAGATATTTCACAAACACTGTATTAGTTACCATTGTTACGCAGATGACATCCAAATTTATCTTTCTTTTAAACCTACAATGTCTTCACTGTCATCAGCTATTTCAAAACTTGAAACATGTCTTGAAGAACTCAAATCCTGGTTAATATCTAATGGCCTTAAGCTGAACGATGATAAATCTGAGTTTTTATTATTAGGTTCCAAGCACATGTTACGGAAGGTTGACCATCAATCGTGTCATCTCCATATTGGAAAAACATGTATCACTCCATCAAAAACAGCTCGTAATTTAGGTGTAATATTTGATCAGGAAATGTCCTTTCGTAATCATATAACACATGTCCAACAGAGTGTAAGGTACCAATTACGTAATCTAAGTTTCATAAGAAAGTGTTTATCTAAACCTGCGGCTGAGATTTTGATTCATGCTTTAATTTCTTCTCGTTTAGATTTTGCAAATTCTTTGTTCTGTAACCTTCCAAAAAAAGATGTCACAAAACTTCAACGACTTCAAAATTCTGCAGCCCGCCTATTAACATTCACTAAGAAATCTGATTCAATATCACCAATTCTCCGTTCTCTCCATTGGTTGCCAGTTGACAAAAGGATTATTTTTAAAATTATGTTACTTGTTCATCATTCAGTTTACTCTCTTTCTTCCCCTACATACCTGAACAACTCTGTTTCAAAATACAACCCCACACGAAGTCTTCGCTCCTCATCAGACACACTATTACTTAATACACCCAGAATAAAACTTGCTTGGGGCGATCGGGCTTTCTCCGCAATGGGTCCAAAACTTTGGAATAAGCTCCCTCTACAAATACGCCAACTGTCATCAAAAGAAACATTCAAATTACAACTGAAAACTTATTTGTTTCTTTCGTTGTAAATATTGTAATATTTTAATTTACCATGTCTAGGAGAATTTCGATTTTTGTTTTTCGGTTTATTGTTGTTTTTCTTTCTTATGTCTGTTACATGTCCTTTTCTCTAAGCGCCATGAGCACCGAAAGGTGGACCTGTGCGCTATACAAATAGCCACTATTATTATTATTATTATTATTTCAAGGAATTAATTCCTGCAAGGTACCCATGTAACTCACCTGGAACAAGTGCGGTAAATGTAGATTAATGTTTTGCTAAAGGACACTAGTGCAGCGCGGGAATTGTGATCCACAGCCCGGTGACATATCAACTCGACCACGACACCTCTACAGAATGACAAGTGTTTTCCCCTAAGTATCTTTTGTTCGTTCTATTTAAGCACTTTCAGCGTATTTTTGTTATTACATTTAGTCTGATTATTATAAGGGCCATGAGCACCATCTGGACAGATTTGTTGGGCATTGTAAATGTCTGCATTGCTATTATTCTCGTTTTACCCTTCAATTCTGATGAGTTTTATGTCATTGTAAAGCTAAGAATCTCTTCAGTTTAAGAAATGGTCTTTAAAATCTGTGACTCTATGGTGTTTTTTGGTGTGATGGGTCTTATTTATTAATGTACAGTTTATGATCTAACTTTCTATCGTCTTTCAGATTCAGAATTTAACAGGATGGCTTTTTCTTACAGTTGACCTTTCCTTTAATTTACAGATGAATCTTTTGAAGAGAGTGGTGAGAGCATACAATAAGGACTCTTCGATTGTCACATCTACATAGTAAATTGCAACATTGCATCCTGATGATCTGTGCATGCGCCATGATGTCTACCCTGTAGAGAACGTGTGTTCAGCTCGGCTTTGACGATCACCTCAATGTTTAATGCCGTTCTTTTTAGAAATAGTCGATATCTAGTTCTCTGTACCTGTACGTAGTTCGTTCGTGTCTCCTTAGATCAAGATTAATGTTCAGTTTCTTAATTGATTTAATTAAATAAAATTCTTCCATCGCCCAATGGCTGCGATGGCTGTTTCATTTACAAGGGCCAGGTCTTCATCTGTGCAACCTATTCCACCGCACTTCAAGATGTCATCCATCGTCTGAGTCTCTCCACAGTCGCAGAAAGTATCTTTTTCATGGGCATAGCCCCATCTTGCCATGTTGGCCTTACAACGCCCCATTCTCATCCGCATTTGATTTAGGCATTTCCACTCTGGCCACTTCAGGTTTAGTCCTTTGATGAGTATGGGCTTGCAATTGGCTGGTGGTGGAGGAATCTGCTTAGGTGGTGGGACAGAATCAAGGAAGCTGTGTTGGGATACATGGCGTCTGTGGGGTGGCAGCTAGCCGTATAACATGTGTCTGTCATCTGTCGCCTGCTTCATCCGTTCCTTTAGGCAGGTGTTAGAGCGTCCTTGGTTTGGAGATCCGATGCCAGCGAGGTGATATATATATCCTCAACTTTTGGCTGTTTCAGGCAGCCTGGTAGCTTTCGATATGTGTTATTGAGTGTAGTATCAAGCTTCTTCACATGGGCTGATCTGCTCCAAACTGGGCAAGCATATTCTGCGGATGACATGCAAAGGGGATCGAGCTGCAGATTGTACAGTTTTGGGGTCAGCGCCATAGTGTGAAGTGTTAACCGGTACGTAATTTGAGCTCATTCAAAGTGGCAAGTGCGCATGAAATGTGGTTATGCAAGCCAAATACTAGTACACCACACACATGACGTCATCATATCATGTTCACTAGTGCGTCGAACAGGCCTTGACTGAAATTGAAAGGATTTAAAAGAGAAATGAGCAAGGGACGTACGTCGACTACCTGAGTGAACATAAGGTCTTGACTAGAACGGCGTTCTTGTTGACACAGTGGAAAAGACCTTATTATCTAAGATCTGTCTGTCAGTAAAGTGTAGTCCACTTTGGGTCATTGAAAATGCCTGTCCTCCAGTAAACACCCAAGTTTGTCAAACTCCTCTTGAGGAAACATGACTCTTGTCTTAACTAGACTTTAATTCGTCACTTTGAAGAATTAGGTGATACGTAAGCTAATTTTGTATCATGAAAGTGTGCCGATGATGATCTAATGATAATATTCATCAATACGATAATGACGATATTGATGATGATGATGATTTGTTGGTTTTAAATTATGATGACAATGATTAAAAGTGGTATAGCGCCCCCTTCAGGTATTCGATAGACAATTGTTATATGATTAAACTATTAATTTACATAACAAGCTCAAATTTTCGCCTGATTGCAGAGCCTACCAATCATTGAACTGATATTTCGACGCACTACATACGCAACATAATGAACAAGTCTAGACTGGAATATAGTATCAATCACCTCCCATAAGCATAAGACGCACATTAAGCAAAATTCTATTGACGTCATCAAAATGAAAATAAATATTGATAATAATCTTTTGAAGAATTGTCTCAGCTACAACATATCAAAATTTAGAAGAAAATTGATCAATATTTGCAGAGATAATATCATTTTCCGTAAATATGTTGTCGTCATAATATGCAAATTCGTATTTTGAGTTCCAAGGACTATATTATTATGTAAAAATATACTTAATCGCCAAATGAGACATGAAATCATATCTCCGACTCATACTGAATCTAAATATGAAGAAAAAAATTGGCAGTCCTTATTCATCCCGATGTACTTTTTATAGGCATGTTTTTGCCCATATATGCTATGTAATACATGAGCTCGCACGCACGGATATTTATCTTCAACGGACGCTCATTCTGTTATTAATAGTGATAAAAAGATGAACATGGTATCAAATTGTTCAGAAAAATATGAGGAATATCCTGTCTAAACAAATTGAGGGGTAATTATTTTTCGTTTGGCCGTGACGAACGAAAACGCGCAAAAATGCGTGTTTTGCGCGATTTTTTATGAAACGCTTATAATGGCCTAAAACGTATGCAAACAAAATTTAAGACGATTTTGAGCAATTTAAAATTTTACGCGCGCGTTAACGTGCGCACAAACGCGTACGCGCATTTTTGCGCACATTTAATGACCTGAAATTGACCGGACGGATATTGATCTTAATCCTGATAATTATAAATGAGAAATTCCTTTCCGTTATGAAGATATGATCATAAGTTGATTTTCACAAAATGGCGCCTAGATGACGTCACGATGACCTTGAGTCATTGAAAAGTCATGCAGTTCTAAGTTAGACTAAGATCTATCATCATGGCAAGTTTTATGATAATAGCTTTATTCATTCTTGAGATATCTTGCGAACAAATTCGAGGAAGAATAATAATTTTAAAAAAATAATAATAATAAAGAAAAATCTTGACGAAATCAAAAGGTGATACGTCTACGTACGTATCACCTAATTAAAAGGAAATCCTACCTTGATAGCAAACTACTCTATAGGAAAGCAGAACAATCTGAAAGTGGACAGGTGAAATTTTAGATGGAATGGGCCAAAAAATTAGGAAACTATTATACTTCAAAAGTAAAAGGACTGCGCACTTCTTATCTCTGTGGTTACCTGTTGTTTGGAATTGCTTAGCTGCGCGCATCTGACCTCAAGGCAGGTAAATTGAGGAGAGGGTTCGACACCATTTCTATGTGCAATATAACATACATGAATACTTAACTCAGTTCCCCTCATACCATTATATTTCAACCTCGGTCTGCAGCCTAATGCAATGTAACATCTTCCAGGAAATTCTGAATTTGTTGGTTCATATATTTTGTTATATTGAATGCCTGAGCATGCAGTACTTATATCATGTGATCCATCCATGCTCCCACAGACCCAAGGGAACCTGGGACTATTAACGTGGAAGAGGTGACCTCGACATCCATCTCAATCACGTGGACCGAGATTGCAGGAATCACCGACTACATTGTCAACCTCAACCTGGCAAGCAACAACACTGAGCTGTTCTCAGGAGTCATCAGAAATTCCCTCAAGGCCAGCTTCTCAGGACTGATGCCGGGAGAGGAGTACATCATCGAGATTGAGTTGCAGTGTGCCGGAGAAGTTCTCTCTCTTCGACAGTTTACATGTAAGTCAGTTATTAAAGCTCATGTTCTATGGGCATGGTTGGTATCAAAAAAGAAACTGAATAGAAACATGTTAGATTGTATCTGGTCTCATGTAATTCTCCTTGTATTAAAGCATACATGTATACAAGATGATTTGGTACTCTAACCATGATTTCAGGGGAATTGTGTAAGTATCTACAAGGAATGGATAGGACCCTTCCCCCCGAAGGTTCCTGGCACATTAATCCAAGCATTTGGCTTAGATATAGCAGGGTATGTGAGTTAAATGGATTCCGCATCTAAGAGGGCCCTTTGAAGCAGTCCGCTGCACCGAGAGTCTTTTTTCCCCCTATCATAATCCCCTTAATCCCCCAACCGGACCGCACAGCTCGTAAATCTCACTCCCGAAACTGAGTGACATAGGGCTCGCGAAATGCATTGTTGGAAATACACATCGGCTGCTATCGACAAAAATGGTGGCGTACAGTAGGGAAGAGTATTTGGTAGGCGACGATTTAGACTTTCTGACTGATTTTGAGGAAGATTTGATTCTTGAGCCTGGTGTATGGGAAGTTGGAGACCAATACAAGTTATGCACGTGTGAAATTCCATCAATGGAAAATCTTATTCGTTGCAGCGAACTAGAATGTACGGTTAAATGGTTTCATCGTGAATGCGTAGGCCACTCCATGTAAATAGGCAGCATTTGAATACATGAATAGTCAATATACTCACAACATACAGTACAAATGCACATAATCATCCCCTATGCAGTTGATCGGCAAGTTTGTCAGTAGACTCACAATTTTAATTTTAAATTATTCTTTCTAACATCAGAAAGTTGAACAAATTGTATTTTAATGCTCTTTAGGTGTCATCAATCATCACTATAGTACTGCCTTTGAATGAAATCAGTTGAGTTTTGTACAGTGGTGTTTGAAATGTTGAGAATCAATAGCACAACTTTTAATACACGGCCAGGGTAGTAATGCAGCTATGTGTGTTTCCACCAACAACATCCAGCATGTACAGCCCAGCGAGCACGGCGGCTTTCGCGTCGCCGGCCCGTACTCGGGGTGAAAAGTGGTGATGAAATGACAACTTCTAACCCTCATTAAACCAAATGCGCAAATACATAACACAGTTTCATTTAGTTATTTTAAGAGATAAACTTATGGACTACCTTCCTAGCTATGTAAAAATTTCGGAAACTTTCGGGAAATGTCAATAATTAGAAGAGAACGTGATGATGATGAGAAACTTGCATTCACTCTAACTCACGATTTCCTTGGTCGATTTCGCTGGTTCAGATGGCTACGTCTTCAGAAGAGTTATCCGAGCACAGCGAAAGCATTTGATAACCAATAGAAGGTTGCCTTGTGTCATAAGTTGTCGATTTTGTATTTTTGTCTGTTATAGCTACATACATCTTCAATGAGTATGACATCATTTTCTCGGTGACTCGCATGGCTTCAAAGCTTTTTTTACGACCAAGTGTTTGGAGAGCTTAGGGAAGCAGGCCGCGTTGCGTAACACTTCGTAACATTTGGATCGCCAGAGGGCATCTGTGGTCTGATAAGGGCTGCTGTTGATGGATTTGATGGCTGAAGAGGGTTACATTACTTGTTGTTAAGCCAAGTTAATCTTGAATATCTTTCCCTCAGGAAATTCTTTCGAGACGGAAACTCCATCTAAAACACCTCCCTGGATATAGTGTGTGACAATGTGAGACAGTGTGTGTGTTGACTGTAGCATATACACTCAGTCCTCATAGGCTTTACATGCGAGTACCGTATTTGCCGGCAATAAGGCCGCACCCCAACTTTGACATTTCAAAGAGGGGAAAAAAAAAGGGGGGGGAAAAAAGGACAAAAAAAAAAAGAACAAAAAAAAATAATTGTAATTTTCTCGTAAAACACTATTTTTTTTTACAAACTAATACCAAATTCATCGATGTTCTTATAATTTACCGGAAGTTTAGTTAAAAAAGGGATCGCAGGCAGATTTGGTGTCCGATATATACAAAATGTACCCCTACCACAATGTACGGTGTAATGCAAAATTGCATGAAATGGAAAACAAAATGGCGACTTCGGATGGATGCTTCGCGGCAGCTTAAACGGTCCCTTCCTTTACTTTTGCAATGCTTTGGCACGAACTTAGATCAAAATATATCGGCAAATGTTTTTGGATGTTTATTTTCGTCTTCGATCATGTCTTCAATGCAAGATAAAATTGTCGGTAAGATGTGTGGAAATGTCCTGTACTATAGTGGTATCGTTATTGTACTGTTCGTAGTCTCATATGTGCAAATTTGTGCTGGTTTGGACTTATGTTTTTTTTTATCTTTTACTCTTTCCCCGTTAAGGCCGCACCCCAAATTTTTGATATTTTCTCCTTCAAAAATACTGCTTCCTTTATGCCGGCAAATACGGTAGTGCAGGCTACTGTTCTGAGAATTTACATCCCAGGATGGTATTTCATTTTTTTCTATATTTCTATTTCCAACCCTGAAATTTTAATGAAATTTAATAATACGAAGGTACATGCTATCAAAATACATGTACAGCCGAAATGTGATTTCTGAGTATGTAGGTCAAAGGTGAAAGGTCATAGCACACTAAATATGCCAAAACACCTAATAATATACCTTTTTTGTGAAAGTGATCATTAACTTCCTTGCCTAGTAATATAATAGTATAGTCCAATGGAGGTAACTTGTTCTGATGTATATAGGCCATTTGTACCCTGCGAGGGGATGCTACGCTTTGCGTTGACTTGTTATTATTATTATCTTATCTTTTACAGTACCTCTAGCGCCAGTGCGTGTCGTCTTTACTTGGGTCACTATAGACTCTGTCACCCTGCAGTGGTCTCGACCTGAAAGCAAGCTCGTCGGTTACGAGATCATGTACGACGACGGCAGTGGTCCGTACAGTCCTATCAATGTGTTCGACAGGATCTCTTTGCAGCTGGAGAGAACGATCATGGGTTTGATGGACGGACCAGGTGTTGAGGTGAACATCACCACGCTCGCTGGTGCAGGAATGGCCCAGACCAGAAGCAACTCCGTCAAGATCAGTCCAAGTGAGTAACTACACTATTAGCTTTAAGCCTAACCACAATACATCTCTTCTCTTATCAATTTTCACAAGCCATGTCGCTCTGGTCTCTGCTTTTAAAATAAATCCTCAAAGTGTCCACAAAACTAAACCATCAGGGGGGAGCGATTAGATCTGCAGCTTTCCGCTTGTGGAACAGACTCCAAAATCATTGAAAATTTTAAAACTGTAGATCACTTTCAGACAAATGTAAAAACATAATATGACAAGTGTTTTCCCCTAATTATATTTTGTTCTGTTCTATTTTAAACACTTTCAGCGTATTTTTGTTAATACATTTAATCTGATTATTAGTAATGCCCAATTGAGCACCATCTGGGTGGATATTTTGCGCATTATAAATGTCTGCATTACTATTCTTATTATTATTATGCAGCCACGAAGCATAGATACAAAGAAAAAAAGTAATCAATTTAGAAATTTATCACAAACCCTGTAGCAGACCCTGCAAAACCTGGAAGGAGACACTATATGGTCTCACCCAGGCAGATACTAAAGACCGGAAGGCTACCCACTGTGTCATGGTTCTTTTGTTCTCCTCAAGATACCTTCTTCTACTGTCTTCACATTCCGATATATTTCTGAAATACACTAGGTTCCCTTGCATATTCGGGACTAAAAAAAATTAAAAATTGGGCCAACGTCGAATAGTCAACCAATGACCACCATTTGTCAATAAAATTTGCGACAATGGACTAACGTTAAAGATAAACTTGAGTACTGGTAAAAAAAAGAAAATTATTTCTCACAGAATCAAACGAAACTTACACTGAATGTTCAAGATTACAAATAAATGACATGTGCCAAACAATTTTGGAAGAAAATGTATACTGGCTGAGTAATGAGCATAGAAAGACAAGGAATCAAGGTAGTACCAACCCCAACACCATGCGTGTTGTCCCATACATAGCTTTCTGTGTATGTGCGTGTTACTTTACCAAGACTCGGTCAAATTTATTATGATTTTGATGACTCCAGAACCTTGCAGTGCACACCAATACTTACATGCTACATGATCAACTGTTTCTGATCCTTTCCACACCTTTTCTTTCACAATGCAATCGCATAACCAGTACTAAAGTTTATCTTTAAGCCAACGTTGGCCCATTGTCGTATAGCCAAAATATATCCACCATTTATCAGTGAAAACGGCGACAATGGACCAATGTTCAGCCAACATTGGCCCAACGTCGAATAGCCAACCAATAGCCACAATTTATCAATACAAATTGCGACAAACGTTAAAGGGATCGTTTAACAATGTTAAATATGAGATACACGGTCCTACATGTTACCAGTGTCTGTGATATGGTGTCATATTGAAGCCCTAAAAAAATCGCGCTTCAAAATGATCAAGAAGTGCCTCAAAAAAGTAAAAATCTTTGAGTGACCGGTTTTACCATACTCGTTTTCCCCAATAGACTTTAGTGTTATGAAAATCGTCCGGTGAACGGTTTTCAAAATTTGTAATTCCAATCATCAATATCTTGATAATCAGACGGGCGATCGGCTTGTAAAAGTCATGGAGTTCCTGACTGACCTGAAGGTTTATAATTATCATTGCAGCGTGAGCTAATTAAATCAAGGATTATTTTTTAAAGGATCTAAGACAAAGTTACCGGATCCCTTTAAGCCAACGTTGGCCCATTTCGAGTTGCCAACAAATATCCACCAAATTAACAGTAAAAATGGAGACGAAGGACCAACATTCAGCCAACGTAAGCTCAACGTCGAATAGCCACCCAAAAGCCACCATGTATTAGTTATAAGTGAGACAATGGACCAATGTTCAACCAACATTGGCCCAACGTCGAATAGCCAACCAATAGCCACCATTTATCAATGAAAATGGCGACAATGGACCAACATTGAGCCAACATTGGCCCAACGTCGAATAGCCAACCAATAGCCACCATTTATCAGTGAAAATGGCGACAATGGACCAACGTTCAGCCAACATTGGCCCAACGTCGAATAGCCACCATTTATCAGTGAAAATGGCGACAATGGACCAACATTCAGCCAACATTGGCCCAACGTCGAATAGCCAACCAATAGCCACCATTTATCAGTAATAATTGAGTCGATAGACCAACATTCAGCCAACGTTAGCCCAACGTCGAATAGCCAACCAAAAGCCATCATTTATCAGTGAAAATGGCGACAATGGACCAACGTTCAGCCAACATTGGCCCAACGTCGAATAGCCAACCAATAGCCACCATTTATCAGTGAAAATGGCGACAATGAGCCAACGTTAGCCCAACGTCGAATATATTTCTAACATAACATCATCTGCAAATAAGGTCAATGGATTCATCCGTAGAAACCTTATATCATGTACTAAACAAACTAAATCCTTAGCTTACACAACCCTAGTCCTTCCAATTGTAGAATATAGTTCTAGTGTCTGGGACCCATATACCAAAGAACACACGCAGGAAATTGGCAAGGTTCAAAGAAGGGCAGCCAGAATGGTATGCAATGACTACAGGCAAACTTCCAGCGCGACAAAATTAATGGTGGGGTTAGGATGGGATTTGCTTTCTATTCGAAGTAAAGTTTCGAGGGTCTGTATATTGCACAAAGCCTTGGGGGGGCACTTGGCCCTGCCGGTGTCGGACTACCTGCGTCCAGCTACACGAGCCACCAGACGTACCTCAGGAAACTCCTTCATCCAATACGCCACCTGCACCAATTGTTTCAAACACTCCTACATTCCACGTATCATCAAGGACTGGAACTCACTACCCTCCGACATCCAAAGGACCACGAACATCGACACCTTCAAACTCCAAGCAACCAACTTTTTCCGCAACCAAGACTCAAGCAATAAGAACTAAACAAGCACAGTGCGCACCCCCTCATCCTCCTCGCTTGGTTCCTTACGGAATGTTGAGGAGTATACCAGAAGAAGAAGAAGCCAACCAAAAGCCAACATTTATCAGTAATAATTGAGACGATGGACCAACAAACAGCCAACATTGGCCCAACGTCGAATAGCCAACCAAAAGCCACCATTTATCAGTGAAAATGGCGACAATGGACCAACGTTCAGCCAACATTGGCCCAACGTCAAATAGCCAACCAATAGCCACCATTTATCAGTGAAAATGGCGACAATGAGCCAACGTTAGCCCAATGTCGAATAGCCAACCAAAACCCAACATTTATCAGTAATAATTGAGACGATGGACCAACGTTCAGCCAACATTGGCCCAATGTCGAATAACCAACCAATAGCCACCATTTATCAATGAAAATGGCGACGATGGACCAACATTGAGCCAACGATAGAACAACGTCGGATAGCCAACCAAAAGCCACCATTTATCAGTAATAATTGAGTCGATGGACCAACGTTCAGCCAACGTTAGCCAACCAAAAGCCACCATTTATCAGTGAAAATGGCGACAATGAGCCAACGTTGGCCCAACGTCGAAGAGCCAACCAATAGCCACCGTTTATCAGTGAAAATGGCGACAATGAGCCAACGTTAGCCAAACGTTAAATAGCCAACCAAAAGCCAACATTTATCAGTAATAATTGAGACGATGGACCAACGTTGAGCCAACATTGGCCCAACGACGAATAGCCAACCAAAAGCCACCATTTATCAGGAATAATTGAGACGATGGACCAACGTTCAGCAAACATTGGCCCAACAACCATTGTCCATGGTCCATTATTCGACGTTGGGCCAATGTTGGCTAAACGTTGGTCCATTGTCGCCATTTTCACTGATAAATGGTGGCTTTTGGTTGGCTATTCGTCGTTGGGCCAATGTTGGCTGAACGTTGATCCATCGTCTCAATTGTGGCAAAATGGTGGCTTTTGGTTGGCTATCTATCGTTGGCTCAATGTTGGTCCATCGTCGCCATTTTCATTGATAAATGGTGGCTATTGGTTGGCTATTCGACATTGGCCCACAATTTGGCTGAACGTTGGTCCATCGTCTCAATTATCACTGATAAATGTTGGCTTTTGGTTGGCTATTCGACATTGGCCCACAATTTATCAGTGAAAATGGCGACAATGGACCAACGTTCAGCCAACATTGGCCCAACGTCGAATAGCTAACCAATAGCCACCATTTATCAGTGAAAATGGCGACAATGGGCCAACATTGGCCCAACGTCAAATAGCCAACCAAAAGCCACCATTTATCAGTGAAAATGGCGACAATGGACCAACGTTCAACCAACATTGGCACAACATCGAATAGCCAACCAATAGCCACCATTTATCAGTGAAAATGGCGACAATGAGCCAACGTTAGCCCAATGTCGAATAGCCAACCAAAACCCAACATTTATCAGTAATAATTGAGACGATGGACCAACGTTCAGCCAACATTGGCCCAATGTCGAATAGCCAACCAATAGCCACCATTTATCAATGAAAATGGCGACAATGGACCAACATTGAGCCAACGATAGAACAACGTCGGATAGCCAACCAAAAGCCACCATTTATCAGTAATAATTGAGACGATGGACCAACGTTCAGCCAACATTGGCCCAACGACGAATAGCCAACCAAAAGCCACCATTTATCAGTGAAAATGGCGACAATGGACCAACGTTCAGCCAACATTGGCCCAACGTCGAATAGCCAACCAATAGCCACCATTTATCAGTGAAAATGGCGACAATGAGCCAACGTTAGCCTAACGTCAAATAGCTAAACCAAAAGCCAACATTTATCAGTAATAATTGAGACGATGGACCAATGTTCAGCCAACATTGGCTCAACGTCGAATAGCCAACCAAAAGCCACCATTTATCAGTGAAAATGGCGACAATGGACCAACGTTCAGCCAACATTGGCCCAACGACGAATAGCCAACCAAAAGCCACCATTTATCAGTGAAAATGGCGACAATGGACCAACGTTCAGCCAACATTGGCCCAACATCGAATAGCCAACCAATAGCCACCATTTATCAGTGAAAATGGCGACAAT